ATATCTTCCGTCCAGGGGGCGGGTACTCCAGCTAGTTGAAAATAAATATTTGCTTTTCAGATGGCTTACAATGGAACACATTTTTTTCCAGTAAGTGTGATAAAATTCTTGCTCTACCTTTTCTTTTTTCATGAAATGAAGTGAGTTAAGAAGATAAAGCACATAAAATGGACTTCTAGTTCTTTTGTTAGGACACTTACGTTAGCAGAATGCCCTCTGGTGGCTCAGTAGTGAGTCTAAGACATTATAACTAAAAACTAGGGATCGATACCTGCAGTGGGCACAGCACAGATATCCCATTATATAGCTTTGAGCTTAACAACAAGAAAAGAGGTTCTAATCCTTTTTCAAATATGACAGTAGCTCAAAGGTAAGTTTGAGGGTTTATAATGCTAAAAACTCGAATTTCATTCCCGTCGTTGGGCGCAGCTTTGCGCTTAAATAAACAAACAAATACACTTTTGAATATACTTTGAAGTTAAAAAAATCGGTGAAAGAAAAAATAATAATACGTCGTTGTTTTAATGCAAAGTTACACAATACGCTATTTGCGCTCTGTCCACCGCGAATAATCGAATGAATATGTACACCACAAATATACTTTGGAATAATTATTTCTCCTATGCTAAAACGTATGTAATAATAACGATAATAAAACAATTGTGGTAAATTTTACTCGAGTTAATTAGTTACGATTTAAACGCCAAAAGCCAGTGAAAGATTGGAAAATCAATAGACCTAAAAGATGTTATAGAAACCTGTTAACCACAGATGTTTACTGCTTTCATCTTAAGTTGTTTATTGTAACTATTTTTACACATCTGTAATTTCGAGGCGCAGTGGACAAATTAAAAAGAGAGTGGGTGGGGGAGGTTCATTTTGAGTAAATTAGTTACCAAATTCAACGTTCAGCTTTTGTAAATAATAAAGATAACCGTCATAATAAAAACTTGAAAATTAGCTTGCTTAAAACAGGTAGAAGTAATTCCGTTAATGAGCATTCCGCTTGTAATTATGGGTAATTTTCTGTGGAAACCATATAATGAACAAAACAAATACTAATGATTTGGTTGCTTGGAGATAAGTATATCTGTTAGTTTCTTTATTAACTTTTTTTAGGTTTATCTCAACCGAAAATGTTCGGGATTTTCCCGCATATATCTTATTATCATAAACTAAAACTCAGGAATTCCCGAAAGTTTAAATTTCCATTTTTTTTTTTTAATTTTCATTTTTCATATTTGTAAACCGGATAAAGTATCTAAGCAGCTTCAGGTCAGTAGCGTGATGTTCAATCCGCCCCCCTATATGGTTGAACTAGCTTTAACAATGTTGAGATAACAGCGTCTGTCTGCTTTATTTATTTTATTTTTTGAAGCTACAGTAATTTAACGTTGCTTAATTCGTGCAGCTATGAGTGTTCCGTCAAAAATAAGATTTTTTTCCGTAACTAAAAAAAATAAATAAATAACGTATGAAAAACACGCTGACCAATTTGGGCGTGACTTCTCAAACAATGATTGTTTGCCGTCTGAAATTTTCAACTGGTGCGAGTGATTAAAGGAGGATTGTTGTGGGCGTATCGGGATCTCAGTAAATGGGTTGGTTTCTTACACAGGGACGTCTGTTTCTTTTTATCCTTTTAACATACTTCGTCCGTGGGTAATGGCATCTGTTATGATGCGGAGTAATTTTCCCATTCTCCTCCGAATTCCTCTAGGGCGTGGGCATGCAAAAGAGAGGTAAGTCACACGCGACCGAAGCTGGTGATGTGCCAAAAAAAAACCACGATGAACGAATTACGATTGCGAATCTCAGCTTACAATGCTAAATACCATGAATATTATCCCGCAAGAAAATCTTATATTTATAGATAGCGCTTCATTTTTCAAACGATTGATATTCAAATTATGAGTCATTTTCATTACAGAATTACTGATGATTCCGAGAACCACAATGGATTTTTAAAACACACTTTTCTATGTTACTTATCAGCGCAAATTGCTTCAAGATCCACGACTTTGTTAGTTACTGAATCTCCTCGTGCTATCAATATTGTGATTAATCACGCTGATTCTCTCCATGATTTTACCCAATTTGTTGATGTCATTTCTCTACATTTTTTATTTTAGTAGATAAAAAATAACATAAAAACTTCTCAATATGTACTCTCCGCAAGTAGCGAACGCAATAAATACAAACTAGTAATTTGGGGGGTAAACATAATTGTTTAAAGTTCTTTCCAAACATTTGACCTTTTTTGACAATTATTATTTTTTCATTAAAAAAAATCGTATTCACAGCTAATTACAACTCGAATCATCTTGTATTCCATAAAATATCGCTTTTGTTTTCATATAAAAACAGATTCTCTTGTTATAAGATTCTAGGTAATCAGGAGACTAATCTACTGTGACAAATAAATGTAATGAAATAAGTTAGATTTGCTTTTTGCTCTGAAAGCAACATCTAGTATTAATTTACAATAATAGGTTGCTTGCATAAGTGTTATTTTGTATCGGAAAATATTTTTCAACTGTAGTGCCATCTATCTTTCATTAGATGTAACCGTATATTGTTTTAAAATGAAATCAGATATATTGAATATGCCAGATTGTGTATAAATCGATTTGAACCTTTCTGTGGCAAAAATAACTTTAAAAAATAAAAAGAATTGGTACAATTAATGTTATGATTTCTGACAATGTATAATTATTTTATATGAAAATTATGGTAAGTATAAACATCTCTGTAGTATAGTAGGATTTTTATTAAGTTTTTAAACGCGTGTTTTAATATCTTCAGGAAAACAAGATCCAGATATGGTGTCGAGAATTCAGGATATTTTTTGTCCCATAAACGGTATATATCGTTTCACCTACACAGCAAACAATGGAGAATTTCAGTGTACTCAGTCATTTTCGGAGCTTAGCAACTGTCCCCATGGTAACGGTCTAGGCGTCAGCTTCCGACACTGCAATTTCCCAGACATGAGTATGTATAGCTATGGTAGTACTTATTTTTACTCTTGTTTTAAAATATTATTTCAATGTACTCAACATTCTTGTAACTGAGAAGCTGTCTCTGTGGCAACAAATCTGGCCTCTGCTTTCTTTCTTCAAGTTATTATTAGAGTTTTCAGAATGACAAAGGAAAAAGAAAATACGTTATTATTTTGTAAGCCTAATAAGCTTATCTTTAAGGTAAAGTGAATATGGAAATTCTGTAAATAAAATACATTATTATCTTAAATCAACTGGTTACTTAATGTACTTGAAAACAGCAACAATGTTTTATGGAATTAATAAGTGGTACAAAACGTGAGTAAATTTATTTTATTCTGTAAAAAATAGATAACATAAACTATTCCAGGCTAAAGGTTATGAGTAAAAAAGATGAAGTAACAATTAAAAATAACAAATTCTAAAACTGGACTTACGTTCAATTTCCTTTCGTTTTTAGAAGTGCAAATGCATATTCAATATAGAACTGAACGGATCCAATCTGTCGGATCGTAATTTTATGAACACCGGACTCGGGCCGAGCTGGACTTTTATGTCGTTTTTCATAAACGTGGTTGGACCTAAAAAGATTACTTTGTTCTCGGACTTGTGCTTAATAAGACGTATATATGTTTATTTTTCTGAATTCCTCTCTAATAAATTACTAAATTAATTTAGTAGGTTTCAGTAATGTGCTACAGTGTTAAAATCAATGATTGCTGTTTTAGTAGCTTATTTAGAAACCAATTTGCAAAAAAAAAGGACAATTTTTCATTTGATCTAATACACACGTTCCTGTCTTTCAGACGTCCGGTTTCTGTGTTTAGGAGATTGGGAAGGACCGAATAATGACCGTTACCTTGCTCTGATGGACCTACGAGCAGAGCCGGAAGCAAGACCTAGATATCGCTGTGGGGTAAGATATACTACTGATACGACATCTAAAATGAAGTCTTACACATTTTTCCAGATTAATAAGCTTTTCCATCTTATAAATTATTAGCAGATTTTCAAACATTTCGATTACTTGCGCTAGCCGTCCCTAATTTTGAAATGATAGACTAGAAGGTAGGCAACTAGTCAACACTGACAACTCTTAGGCTACTCTTTCAACGAATAGTGAGATTGACCGTCACATTATAAAGCTCCCACGGCTGAAAGGGTGAGTATGTTCGGTGACGAGATTCGAACTCGCATGCCGTACACACCAGGTTGTACACATAACTCATATTAAGGCTACAATTTAAAAGAAACAAAAATGTCCAATGTTAAGTTCTTTCTCCGATTTCTAGTCTTAGTGAAGCATTTGTCCACCTGTGGGACAGCGGTAAGTTTATGGATTTTTACAACGCTAAAATCCGGGGTTCACTTCCCCGCGATGAATACAGCAAATAGCCTAATATGGCTAAAACAAACAAGTGACGTATTTAGATATTCACAATAGACAGACTAGACGGATATATAATTAGTATTATACGTTACGTGAAATGAAGTAAAAATTAACTTTATGTTACAAACTTTTTTTATGGTAAAATCAGTTAAAATGTGAATGCTAAATCACCCTAAAACTGAACTAAAGATCAGGCCTTCGGTAATGAGGCAATTTTCGCTGATCACTCATTGGTTAGCTAGTCTATCTCGCTAGGGTGAGAAAATGACAGCAGTTTCATTCTTATACGCATGGGTTCATTCTAGGTATTCGAAGTATGAGAAACAACTACGTATGAAATATATTAAATTTCCCTTATTGTTTGTAATTAAACCCGAAGCTTATTTATTGTTGTTGATAGTGTTGGTTGTATGTGTCTGTTACTATATCCACTTTCAGTTAAATATATTTCACATAATATTCTAGTCATGAAGATGTCGACGTATATAATTATTAAATACATTATCCATACTGTATGTAAAATTATTCTTGATTGATAAAGATGTACTAAGTGTTTAGTATTTTCTTGCCAAGGTTGTTCTATACATTCTTTAACCTTCGGCTGAATACAACAGAAGTGAACAGTTCAACATTTTTGAATGATCCCACGTTTCCATTTACAGTTGTACAGGAAAAATCCGCAGACAGGTCAAATTAAAGTCTCTTTGGCAGCAGATTCAACGTGTACTACTCAGCTACGCAGCTCTTCGGAAGGGTACGAGTCTTTAATCCTTTCGCCAGGTAAGCCTAAAATTGTGAATTGATACTATATTTCTCTCTGCATGAAAGCCTAAAATTGTAGTTCAATATTTTAATACTCGTCCCAGGTAACTTGCACTCGTAATTCCATACTTTAATCCTCTAATCAGGTAAGCCTAATATCGTCAATCCAACCTTTAATCACCTGTAGACCAATACCTTAAATTCTCTTTCTGGCTGTTTCTCTAGGTAAGCCTAAACTTGTAGGCCAATACTTTAACCCTCTCTCCAGTTAAGCTTAAACCTATAGACCAATACTTTTATTCTCTTCAGATAAGCATACTTGTATACCAGTGGTTTAAACTTTAATTCCCTCTCTCAACTCAAGTAATCTTAAACTTGTAAACGTTTTATGCAAAAATAACTTCTCATGGTGGCGCTAGACCTTCTTTATTCGTCAAACAAGCTCCAATGAAAATCGCAGTACTTACAATGACATTCTAGTTACCGTAGGTTTAATTAGGGCCTAACTTAAAAATGAAAGTTGTATATCGCCAATATTCGTCACATTCATAGTATAATAGGAGTTGTTCAGCCTCGTGAAAAAGGTTACGGACCATTGATCTTACAAATCACGTCTTGCTTGTCTTTCTCAGTTCCTGAACAGAAACTTCCACCACTAGTTGATCGATCACACTGTAGGTTTCCTGACTGGAGCCAGGGGAGGTGGGAGCATCTCGACGTGGACGGTAGAAAGTTTGTCTTTCGGGACGGCGTGAACTTCCAAACAATCACCGCTACCTGCATCCACAGGGAAAACAACACACCTCACGATCGGTTCCTCGTGTACGCGGTCACACAATGGTAAGTCTGCCTGTCTTGTGACACAAGTTGCTCTAGAGAAACTAAGGCGTATACCCCAAACATCAAGTTTAAATGGATAAGCAATGAAACACATGGCTTGAGTTTGGTAGGAATTTCAATTTTACTGCCTTAATGTGGCCAGTGAGGGATCATCAGAGCGAGGAGGTTAGTAGCAAAATAAATGAAGCTGACACCAAACGAAGGTGATGTTTGATATCGTGCGTAGTTAGGGTGCCTTTGCGTAAGACGAACGGTTTGTTTGCTACGAACCCAAAATAGTGGAAGGGGAAGCCCACGCCCCTTTTTATTGCATAACTTTGTAAGCCCGACATATGTCTTGCTAATATTATATATCATAGAAGTAATGGTAACGTTATAATAGTTTCATATCCATATTCTCGTACAAAGACTTATCTCAGTGATTGTTCAGTTAATAAAAATGAAATGCTGAATGGGCTTTGCATACTGTTCACTTCATTATAACATAAGGATGTCCTTATTTTTATCCTACATATGATTATGAATTAAATGTTTTCACTAAAAAAACGTACTTGTTTGTTTTGAATTTCGCGCAAGGCTACTCGAGGGTTATCTGCGCTAGCCATCCCTAATTTTGAAGTGATAAACCAGAGGGAAGGCAGCTAGTCAAACCGCCCACCGCCAACTCTTGGGCAACTCTTTATCAACAAGTAGTGGGATTAAACGTAACATTATAACGCCCTCACGGTTGAAAGGGCGAACATGTTCGAGATCGGGATCCGAACCCACAACCCTCAGATTGCGAGTCGAGTGCCTTAACCATCAGGCCTTACTAAAGAGCACAGTCAGGAATTGTTTATTATTCTAGTATTCTGATACAGAAATTTGGACTTCTTGCGTGTCGAAGGATAATAAACATCAAATTGTTATTACTCTCCGTGTATATATATGTGTATGCGTGTATATATAGGTAACTTCACAGGTGCCCCCTGCCTTTTATTGTAAATATATTGAAGATGTTTTCGTTATAGCTACAGGCACTAATGATGAACTCGATCTTTTTCTTCAGTTTGTTAATTCCTTTCATCCATCACTTCAATACACGTCTTCTACTTCCCACCAAACTATTTCATTTCTTGACATAAATACATTAAATTTCCGTGAGTGTTGTTGACAATCTCGCGACATCTGAACATTATAAACCGACAATAGACATAGCTACTTACATTTTCACTCCAGTCATCCTCAATACTTAAGAGAAACATTCCAAAATCCTTACCAGATTACATAGGTTCTGTAGTAACGACCAAGATTATAATAGCAAATCAATCAACATGTTCCACTTTTTAGAAAAACGTGGCTACCCTACTTCTCTTCTTCGCCATATTAAAGATAATATATCTACTAACAACAAACGTTCGAGTTCAGCTTTTCAGAGGTTGCTTAGTTTAAAGCATTTCAATAATTATAACACCAATGTCCTAGACAATTTAAAACTTCCAACTAAACGCGTCCAACCTCGGTTCAACCAACACACTGCTACTTCCACTAATCATCAACACATTCCCCTTACACTTACATTTCACCCATATATATATGCATATCCCTCATTAGAAGTTATTATTAACGAGAAATGTAACCAACATTGAGTCATTATGAACGAGATATTTATCTGTCGTTACAATTAATGTATTTTTCTGATTTCCTGCACCAGTGGAGAGGCTTCTTACAATTGCGTATGGCTTCAAAGACGCACTAACAACATTGTTGAACTGATGATAGGCTCTAGGCCTAGTTCACACTTCTCAGAGGATCTGTGTAGAGACCAACAGTTCCCTACTAAAGAATGGATCACCGAAGGAAGTAAGTACTCACTTTTTCTAGTCTACTTACATATTCGAAAATTCAAGGAGACAAGTGGTTAGGTGTAATTTAGTTAATTACTCTTGTAAGCCTTAACTCTCCATTTGAAGACTTTAATTTTATTGGAATATTTCTAAATTTAAAAGAAATGGAGGAGGAAATTTATATTACAAAAAATGGTTAACGTAAAATAGTTTTAATGTTAACAACGCTTCAGACTAGGACACCCTCTTCTGGTGATTTTAAACTTTTTTTGTTCCACTAAAGTTTAAAATCATCGGGGAAAAGGCGTCCCAGTCCGAAACGTTGTTAAGATTAATTAAAACATCTATTTTACGTTAGTCATTTTCTTTTTGTGGTATACTTTTTTCCTTCTTTTTTATTTTCTATTTCATCGTATTACAGCGATCTTTAGATGATTTTTTTTCATTTCTAAATTTGATTTCATTGCGTGGGTGGGGGAGACAGTAGTTTGTAAGAGCTGTTATTAGAAATAAAATATAGATTTGCCGATTTTTGTTTCAGTGTTCAATCACGGACGGAAGGATAAAACATAGGCTGCAATATATAACTGATAATGAAATTTTACAAACAAAATACGGTTACATTTGTACATTTTTACATTTGCGTCACATTACATCAGATTTTTAAAATGTACAATACAATACAAATTCTTAAGGATTTTGATTTGGAAGAATTATTTTAGTTCGATCTTTAGCCAGTTTTCATCTTTTTAATTTTTAAGTAAGAAAAATTAAACGCACGAAGTTTCAATTTTGTGAGGGATTTAAAAACTTGGAAATTCAACTAAGCCTAAATATTCTAAATAAGCGAACTAACTTCTGTTTTTACTTTCAATGTTATGAAATTTAATAATTATAATAACTGGTAAACACTGAATGGTAATTACTGCAATAGATGGATGTACCACGTAGCCACGAAAATAGATGATTGGCTAAAAAGGACTACTCTACCTGATGTATTTGTTACTTTATTTTTGCTTATTGTATTCCTTTTCTCCTTTTTAATTTCATTTAGTTTAATGTTGTGTATATTATTGAAAATAGATTACAGTTGGTAAATTACATTTGGTTAAAACTACAGTGTTCTTGTAGAACAACGTCTTCTCTGATGTGCAGCGGTTAAAATGATAAAATCTTTGATACAGAAAATAATTAAAGTGTAATAAGGCTTAATATCTTCAGACCATATTTTGTGAGAGAAAGGATGAAACTGTATGTAAATTGTAAGACTAAAATCTACTCAAGGCAGAATTCAACGAACACTCGTTTTAAACTTGAGGCTCTGAAATTTGAAATGATATTTTTGTGTTTCTTTTGTTCGTATATCTGCTAAGAAAAATTCATACTAGACCAGCGGCTCTCAATCTGTGGTCCAGGACCACCAGTGATGCAAGGGTCTCTTCAGCAAAGCCACATCGGGCTATCTGCTGTGCCCTTCGAAGGGAATCGAACCCCCGATTTTAACATTTTAACTCCATAGACTTACCGCTGTCCCATTTCGTGGTGTGTGATATTAACTTTAAAACCTTAATTGTTGCTTTACTTTGGAGTCTCTCGCCTCAATAGGCACTCTTAAAATTATGAACAAAGGAGTAAAAACAATGTGTTATTTAATACGGTTAAGGAAGTTTATGGTTTGGACAAATTAAATTAATATTCATTATGCTCCAATAATAGCACCTGTAACTATATTTTTAAACATTGTTAACCAATGTTAATAATATGGCGAGACGTGAATGGTTAAAGATTGAACACGTTATATGAGATTATTTCTATTTGTTTATCGCAGGAACGAATGTGAAAGAACCGACGACTTGTCCAATCACAGGAGACTACTTCGGCGTTGTTCCCGACACTACTGGTTTATGCGCTAAAGTAGCGTCTGATTGTAATAATCCAGACATCATGTTCTACTCCGTTAGCAGCTGCGCTAATAGGTCTCATGTTTATGAAGGTGAGAAATTGTAACAAAATAAAATGTAAAATATAGTTGCTACAAGTATAAGAAAGAGGCCAATAACAGTGTACATCATTAAATACCCTCTGTATATGTGTACGTGTTTAAAGCTGAAAATTAGCATTTTTTAGTTCTGTTTTATCAAGTGTAATGCTCGTACTAAGTAGTAACAAATGTTAGTTACTTTGATGAAATATTTGAAAAATCAGTCTGGTAATGAGTATAGCTATATATATATATATATACCTTTCTTGCGTCCTCACTTACAAAGATTAGAATGGATTGTTTCATCAGTTAGGGGCCAGGTGGTTAGGGCACTCGGCTCGCAGGTTCGAATCCCCGTCACACCAAACATGCTCGCCCTTTCAGCCGTTGGGGCGTTATAATGTGACATCAATCCCACTATTCGTTGGTAAAAGAGTAGCCCAAACGTTGGCGGTAGGTGGTGATGACTAGCTGCTTTCCTTCTAAATTAGGGACGGCTAGCGCAGATAGGCCTAGTGTAGCTTTGCGCGAAATTCAAAACCAACAAACAAACATCAGTTGGGTACCTTCGCTGTTAAAGATATTTTCAGCCGTAATCCCAATAGAGCCGAACCCTCAGATTCCTGTTTTCAGAAGTCTTACACTAGCCTAAATAATTCATTGCACTTTGTCCTTAATCTGTTTCGCCATAGTTAGCTTACAAACAACGTAATATAAATTTACGTTTATCCGTTTTTCATTCTTTTATTTTATTTTATCCCAGTTGCTTAGCAACGTTAAGTAATATTTAAAAATCTTTATCTTAATGGTTTTTCTTTTTTATCGTGGGTTCTTAGTAGCTCGTGTTTATCTTTACACTTCCCAAAAAACCTTTGATTCTTTCTATTGTATTTTTATAACATTCCGTAGGAGCATCGACCTTATTTGTTGTCTGGAATTTCACGTTTTACCAAGATTCACGTGATCGCAGACCTGGGAAAAGTCGCATAATTCTCAAACCATACCTAACACGTCATGTTCACATGAATGCGCATGAGTTTTTGAATATAAAAAGTATAATTTAGGGATCGGTAAATTAGAATAGTAAGATAAAGATACGAATTTTCCTCAATAGCCAACATAAAAAAAACTTGAATAAAAAGTGGTAGAAAGATTTCTGGATCAGACGGCTTAAGTTATCTTGTAAATGAGATTTTTACATCAAGTAGCGACAAAACCTTTTCTCTCTCTCTTTCTCTTTTGTTCGAGAGATGTAACCCAATTCGGATCTTATTTGAAAACGCGTATAGAGGAAAGATAATGCAAAATATTATGCCGATTATTTTTAAATGTAACATAAACACTGACACTGAATCATGTTAAATTAGTTTTACTTGATTTCGTGTTCCCAGTGGCACAGCGAAATGTATGCGGACTTCCAACGCTAGAAACCGTGCTTCGATACCCAATGTGTAGCTTTGGCTTAACTTCAAACAAACAAACCCTTATCTACCGTCATAAGTAAAAGAAAAGGTGAAAATGAAATCATATGATGATGACGTAATGGAAAATTAAACAAAACATTAATATAGTAAAATTATAAAATAAATATGAACACACACACACACACACACACATATATATATATATATGTGTGTATATTGTTTGTTGGGGGTATATGTATCTATTTCTTTATCTTGGAGTTATTTTTATGAAAATTTTTATAAGCTCTTATTTCTGTTGAAAAATAAAAACAAATATGTCTAGCCTTAAAATTCGCAATTAAAGCTACTTTAACATAGAATAAGTTGCAACTAATCCACCTTTTTCATAAGCTGTAATTTTAAAGGTGCATGAATGACTGACGTGTTTAAAAACCTCGTATACAGACGAGGCACAATGACAGAGATAAAACCAGTAGCCAATAAATACCGGTTGCTGGCACGCACGAGACGCTGCCACTGTTGCTTTCTCGACAGTGAGAACATTACCAACGGAAGTACCCTTAACCTATAGGAGCCAAGGGTCGGCCCGGTGGCATGAAAATTGCTTCTGTAATACACAACATAATAAGGACACTTACACAACACATACATCAACTCTTATTTTAACTTCATAGATGAGTCATCGAAGTCGTGACTGTGATGGACGTTTTACGGACAGTACATTCCATTTTATAATCTTAAGGCTTAACCCAAACTGTATAAACATTTAGTTATATTTGTAATCTATAGCTTCAAAGTGAGTGTTGGTAAGGTTTTGCCGTCGAACTATATACATATAAGCTATGTAAAGCTATAGATTACAAATATAACTAAATGTTTATACAGTTTGAAGCTATAGATTATAAATATAACTGAATGTTTGTACAGTTTGAAGCTGTAGATTATAAATATAACTGAATGTTTGTACAGTTTGAAGCTATAGATTATAAATATAACTGAATGTTTGTACAGTTTGAAGCTATAGATTATAAATATAACTGAATGTTTGTACAGTTTGAAGCTATAGATTATAAATATAACTGTATGTCTGTACAGTTTGAAGCTATAGATTATAAATATAACTGAATGTTTGTACAGTTTGAAGCTATAGATTATAAATATAACTAAATGTTTGTACAGTTTGAAGCTATAGATTATAAATATAACTGAATGTTTGTACATTTTGAAGCTATGGATTATAAATATAACTAAATGTTTGTACAGTTTGAAGCTATAGATTGCAAACATATCTTTTTAAGCTTTTCATCTATATGCATAAAAGATTTTAGTTTTGTAAGATTGTACATTACATTCACTATGAGCTGTACTGCGGCGTGCAAAAAAACTGAAAAAGCTCCTTTTATGTTTGTTTTTGTATTTCGCGTAAAGCTACTCGAGAACTTTTTGCGCTAGCCATCCCTAATTTAGAAGGTAGTTAATCAACACCACCCACCACCAACTCTTGGGCTACTTATTTACCAACGAGTAGTGGGATTGACCGTCATATTATAACGCCCTCACAGCTGAAAAGGCAAGCATATTTGGTGGTGGTACTCGACCCCGTGACCCAAAGATTGCGACAGAGTGCTGTAACCACGCCAGGCCTCACTTTTTTTCATGACATTTAAACAAATTACTTGTTTTTACACGCCCCCCAGTGGCACAGCGGTATGTCTGCGGGTTTCGATACTCGTGGTGGGCAGAGCACAGATAGCCCATTGTGTAGTTTTGTGCTTAATTTCAAACATGCATACTTGTTTTTGCACATTAACCGAGCTGTTTTGTTGTTGTTTTTTTTTATCCTTGGACCGATAACTACAAAAGAATAATATAATAAATTATACTCACACGCAAGAATAATTTGGTCGCTTCAAGTTACAGAAATTCACACTCTTTGTACCTCTTTTCAGAACGTGTTTACCGCTGTATCGGAAACTGGGAGGAAAATGGCGCCCTCTTTACGTTCACTACACGTCAAGACATAAAAGGTCATCAGTGCTTCGTATGTATCTTTTATTATTATTTATATATATATATAATGTACTACAGTATAATGATAAATAAAAGGAAGAAAAATGAGAACTTTTGGCACAATGAAACATCATTTCCATCACCAGGGTTTTAAGTAACTAATAACACTACGTTTCACTAGTCTCTGTAACATAGTCACCATCACCACAATAACTAATAAGGCTTTACTTTTCGTTGAGACATTTGCGTGATACTTACGGACACTTTCAGTTCGTGCACCAGATTTTTTTCTAAGTCTGAAAATTTATCACTTTTTTTCAATTGATTTTTGTATTTATGTTTCGTGAATTTTATTGAACGTGGAAGAATAGCTTTTGATAAGCACATTTAAAGTCTTGATAAAACGACAGAGATAAGTGATATATAAAATATTCAAATTCTTGTCTGCGAAACGTCCAAGAAGCCCCAACATAATTCGTTAAAACCACATTATTTAAAAAGTTTTATTTTGAAAATTGTAAGTGAAAGAATCGGCAAGTTTCTGAATTCGAAAAAAAAACAAATTGTTTTTTGAGCATTTATATGTTTATTATAATTTTTTAAAGTTTAATACACACACACACACACACTTAAGTTTATCCTCTTAATATAATTTGTAAAGTTTAACACACACACACACACACACACTTAACTTTATATTTTTATTATAATTTTTAAAGTTTAATACACACACACTTAACTTTATATTTTTATTATATTTTTTAAAGTTTAATACACACACACTTAACTTTATATTTTTTATTATATTTTTTAAAGTTTAATACACACACACACACACACTTAAGTTTATCCTTACAATACATCTTTCTTGTTTTTGTTAATTTTTTTAAACGCTTGACTTTGGCGCCATTTTTACCGGAACATTTTACAGGTAGGAAAAGTAATGAAGAACGGAGATGAAGCTTATATAAAGGAGGCAGGAGAAACCTGTACTCGAGGGCAGGATCCCATCACCGTGGGCATGAAGATAACTAAACAAGGTAAAGAACGATCTTTTCTCCAACACGAAAAATAATAATTGCTAATTGCCTAGTTCAGTTGTTCTCGAACGTTTTTGTTGGCGGACCACCTGATTTTTGTTTTATCTCGTCAGACTACAGTGAGGTTAAACTTTTCACGAAGCACCTGGACACAGATTGAGGCCCGATGACCTAGTTGTTTATTTTTCATTTCTTTTCACTTTCCCTCTATCTTAATTTATTTTTTAACAAGATATTAGGGAATCCCTAAATTTTCGGCGTATAGTTTTAAAATTTCGATAGTTCAAAATATCACTTTTAATAAATATGTGGCCCAATTTAACCGGAGTTATACCGTTTTCGGGGGTTTCCGCCCCTCATCAGGGTGGAATTCCTGGAAACCATGTAAGATTCATTGACAAGTTGTGAATCGAATGGCAAATTGGGCTTCGTATTTATTCTTAGTGTCTTAAACAGTTCGTCTATTTAATAATTCAGTAAACTACATTAATAGCACCGTATAGAATCACTGAGGTAAGTAAACTACAATTCAAAACACCACACATAGAAAGTATGACTTTGTTATCGGTAAAATATTAGGTTGCCATTAATTTAACAATGACAACAACAAAAAATACCCGATACGTGAAATTTGATTAAAGAAAATAATATTTTTATTACTTGTACTAATACAAATAATATTTTCATCCTCCAGTATCTTGTCCACAAGTACCAGTAACATTTGTGCCCGTCAGGCCACCATGGAGATCAGAGCTGACACCTCCTACACAAGACATTGGGCCCTCTGGCGGTGATTCGTATTGGTATCAGCGCGACAATGATCGACCCACCTCTCCACCAAGGAAGACTGATACAGGTAAGACGTCAATTGTCTGTATTTTTTACCACAATAAACATTTAGTATAGTAGTTGACTTAAAATGTATGTATTTTTTACCATAATACACGTTTAGTATAGTAGTTAACTCTAAATATAAGTATTTTTACCATAGTACACATTTAGTTGGTTTATTTGTAATTAAGCACAAAGCTACACAATGAGCTATCTGTGCTCTGCCTACCACGGGTATCGAAACCCGGATTCTAGCGTTGTAAGTCCGCAGACATACCGCTGTGCTACTGGGGGCCCACATTTAGTAAATGTATGTACTTTTTATCATAATACACATTTAATATAATAGTCGACTCCAAATGTGTGTATTTTTTAACACAATACATATTTAGTATAGTAGTTGACCTTAAACGTTTGCATGAAAAAACTCTGCTGTTGTTTGCATGATCATTTAATTTCATGTATAATACCTTTACTTTAATGGCCAAATCTGACACGTGACTTAAAAATAAGAGCTTTGTTACTAAGTAAGAAATACAATAATAATAGCTGGTAGTTGTATGTAACTGTTAGATATACACGATTGTTTCCATTTAAGTTTAATGCAAGAGTTTAGACAGTTATATAACAAGAATGTTAAATTTAGTTATTTTAGAAGCAACGGTTTATTGCAGGTTTGTTTACGTAACTGTTTACGAATCATACATTGTGTAGTTCATTTGTTGTGGAAATGCGAGCGTTGTATTATAGCGTCATGTTACTAGAACCTTCTAAGTTTTTCTTGTTTTAATTGATTATTATTGCATCATAATATCTCTCAATTTGTGGAACGTTCTAGGCCTCGGTCAGGCTGTAAATACACGTCCGAAATGTAGTTCGTGTTAGTTAGATACAGATATAGGTTGTTAGATAGACAGATATAGACCGGATGATTGTGAGTTGAGTCATAAAGAGCGTATGTAGCGACTTGGAAAGTTAAATTATCACAGATTGTATTGTAATAATAGAGTAAAGAAGAAGAATTCGTCTTGTCAAATTGTGTTCTAAAGTAACTAAACCAGCCTGTGTGGACTTTGACAAAAAAGATACAATTATTTTAAGCTCTGGATACAACTGTGATAACCTACAGTGTAACGAAGATTCATATATATACGTTTGGCTTGTTTTAATATATTATTTTAAAACAATATGACTGTTGAAATTTATCGCCAACAAGTCACAAACACTTACTGTAAAGAATGCGGCCCATACCTAAAAACTTGACAATAACGCATCACGGTTCAAAGTACTTTCTTATGGAAATTATTAGGCTTATCCTATACACAACATTCAATGACATATATTTCAAAACAGCTAATTTGGTACTTTAATTGTGAAGACTTTTTCGATTAAGACTTATGAGGCTAATGGAAAACTGATAAACGCGTGTGAAATAGAACATACATTTTATCCATATTATGTTTTAATAAAGATATTTATCTGATCAGGATGTGATTTTAATTGTCAATGCCTATTTCTTAACAGGACAACCGAGCAAGGATCCCGCTGGTAATTCTGGCATGAAAACTATATCAGATTTTCTACAAGTGACATACTTGCTTCTCTTGGTGAAATGTGCAAGAAAAGTATTATACGATTATTAAGCCTAAATGTGATTATCAACAAACATCCGCAGTTTTCCCAAACTTTCTTATTGGTATAAAACAAGACAAAAGGCCACGGCCTAGTATCACACACACAAGAATAATGTACGATCGAGACGTTTGGGAATAAACTGGAAGAAAAGTATGAGAAAAGAATTTTGACAGGCAGCTAGCTCCGTGTGATGAACTTATAAAAGTGGGACGGACCTGAGCGAACGTGTTCAAAGAAGTGGCAAGTTTTCACTTAAAGAAAAACTAAACATTTTTTTTTCTACTTCTAACAATTTAGAGGGAGGTTAAGAAAGTGGACAATAACGAGAAAAAATAAATATACCGAATAGCGAAATGCCTCGAAGGTCAATTAATCTAAAATGTAAACTTAAGTACAGGATTTTTGATTGAAAAACTAAAAGGTATATCGCCATTTATTGAGTGTTTTGAGGGTACTTAAAATGTATAAATGATTATCAAGAGATAAGACTCATTTATGATGATGGGTTTAAAACAGTTTTAGTAATACCTCTATATCTCTAGCTGTTGGCATTCTCTTTAGAAAAAATAATAATTAAATTACATCACGTAGCAATATCGACTGAAGATGAATTTTTAAATGTTTAGCTGATACTCAATCATTCAAAATCTTCTCGAATTTTTTAATATCAAAAACCCGATTTTTCCATATTGGATTTATATCATCTACTAGTCTGATGACATTTCTACTGAGATGCTTGCTATTTAGATACATTTCATTCATTACACGTTATTTTTTTTGTTAGTTGCAAATATTTTTATCATTTTTATAACAATTTTAAAAATAAGTTTTCAACTTTCATAAAAAATTCTAACACAAAAAAATTGTATTTCATTTTTCAGCATAAAAAAAAACGAGATTAGTGGTTTTATGTAAATAAGTCTGTTTTATGAAGACCAAAGATGTATTGTACAGTTCTCTGGGACTAGTTGAGGTCACAAAAATTTGTATTTTTTATCTTCATAAAAACATCTTTCTAGTTAACTATTACACGTTACTTGGGTTTTTAGTCTGTTTATGTTATTTATATTTACGATTAAACCTTGTAAACAGTGAATAAAAACTACAAATGTATTTTAATATTAGAATTTTCTGCAAGAGGAAAAAATACGAAACTTGAAAAGAACTATACATATTTGAGTTTCTGTATTTTATTAAATAATTTTTTATCTGAAGCTTCTTTAATTTTAAGATAAATTTTACTTAAATAACACGTTTAACACTTAAGAAGGAAAGAAAACGTTTAATTTCATGCTTGAGTTTCAAAATTGTACTCCTAATTTTTTTATAAGGTGTAAGTTAAACAAATTTACCTATCAACCTTAAATCAGTGACCTATAAAAATAGCTCTTTAGATTTTGAATGTACAAGTTTATTTAATGTCAAAATCACAGGAAAGATATTAAGGTAACTTTTCTTTGAACAACAAACTTTTTTTTTTTTTAACAGTACAGTGTATAATTTGTACCAAAGGCTATAATAATAATTGTTCCCGGTTTTCTTCTTGTCAATCAACTACACCTCGAACTACATGCTAGTGAAATTGTTACTATAAAAATGATGACGTCTTATGAGTGTGAATTTAATTATGATAGTGATTCAACAAAATAAAACTCTACATTAATTTGCACCACTAGATGGCACTAATGCATGAATATATGTTACTGCCATTAATCTCCGATCCCTTTCTTTGAGTTATAAATATAAAACTCGAGCATTTTCTTAAGATATTCTTTGACCAAATGAATATAAAATTTTGTTGATAATGCGTATAAAAAATTATTTATTTGAATACCATGTATGTATAGTTTACATGCATTATTTCTATCATCAATTAAAGAGCAAATTATTACACTTATTTAAATGTTAAGCAACACGTCAAAACATTTTGATTAACCTAAAAAAATGAATCTAATTCGTTGACGAAATTAATATGAAATTTATAATTTATTTAGTAAATAACTAAGTATATATACATATATGTGTGTGTAAACCAGTAAAAAAGTTTACATGCAGAAAGTTATAACTCATCACTAACAATTCTTGCATATATATTTTCTTTCAAAGACAAATACATTAACAACGTGTATAGTAAAAGGTTTTTTTAATTATTTACCTGATTAAGTAAGTCACGTTTCTAAACAAAGATAATGGTTATTGTTGACATTATTCATGTAATTATATTTGTAATTCATGGGACAAGGTATTCAAGGTGGAAAAATATACTGTAAATATGTGTATTTAACTCACTTCATTTGATTATGGCAGTGTGTAAACCAAGAAGAATGTAGCTGTGTATGAAGTGTGTTGTAGGTTTATGTGTATGTGATGTTTCTGTTGAAAAGATATGCTTTTCATGAATTCTAGTTATCTTTCTGATGTATTACTAAGTCATTAAACCTCACTGAATCTTAAACCTAATGTTTCATTATATTAAAAGTACCTTTTACCTACTATAGCTAAATACTTCCATTCTGATATAAGAGAAAGAAACAGCATTGTCCCCAGTATCAGATTTAGTGCAACAGGAAAGCTATGTTAGAAACTGTACAGTGGTATATTTATAATGCTTTTGGCAAAGACGGGTGCTTACAGTTAGTTGAACTATTATATTTTGCTGCTAATGAAACGATTATTGTAATAAAGGGTTATTGATACACTCTTGCATTTGTGTATTTTTATATAGGTTCCATTATGAAAAAACTAATCCATTAACAAAATTCAAACTGGAGACATTCAAATATGCTACACTGACATTGAACTTCTGTAATTAAGCCATGTAATTTATACAACTTTATTAAAAACATATAGTTCCAATAAACGTGTGATACAGTATTACAATAGAAATTGATAAAAACCTAAACCATGTTATCTTTTACTGACCAAATACAGGTTGTTTCTGTATGAATTTTGTGTGTAATAGTATTTAAAATATATATTGCTGGTGAAAAGATCTTGTTACTCAATAGGTCAACTGGGTTACACCAAACAAACTGTTAATTTAAATGCTATTTATATTAGTTGTTTATAGGATAACAACTCTTAAAAGACCTTGTCAACAGTGACATATGAGAAAAGATATAGTTAAAATACTGTAACACGTTTTCTTCTTACTAATCATCTGTGTTGGGCCAGTAAAGATTAATGTCATTATAATTATCAAGTCTTACTTTAATGTAATTTCACACTTTTATGACTACTAAATTATAAGAACTAATGAGTGCAAGTTATGTATAATGATATGTCAATCACACTACATCTGCTATGTCCTGTGCAGACGAGGCCTTTTGCTGTTAGTTTAAAACTGAAAACAAGAAATACTTCAAACTGCTTCACATAAATGTTCAAAATAAAGTCTGTTCATTAAAAACAAGTTACCATACTTCATTATTTTTATATAGAAACACAAAGGATTTAATAAGCATCAACACATACAAAGTAAACAGGTAAACACATAAATTATTCACATGAATCTTAATATCCACCGAACACAGAGCAAATTAAGCAGGCCAAACTTAAATACAATTGACCAGAATATACTACATACTTTGTGTATAAAAGAGCAGAAATATCTGCAAACTTCTGTTTGTTTACACTCTTCAGCAACAACAACAAAAAATTTTATTACCCTATGGAAGAATAAGTTGCACCTTTTAGATTCAGCTTCCTCCAGGTGGCTTTAACTTAAGTTTCTTCCACTGTGTTCAAAATAAAATCCTTTCCAATGAAATTTACTTCCTTAAATATTGGTTTCTCAATTGTGCATTAAAGTCGATACATTTCTTGTGGATTGAACTATTTTCCATTTAATAAGTTTGAACTTATTTAGTGATATTAGCAATAATGTAATACCCCACTATGAAGAGTCCAACAAGACCAAGACTGATGTAGCACATCACTCGTCTGTTACCACTGCCAGCTCCTATCATCTTGCTTACTCTGTTAAAACTACTAGAGAGAATACCTTGACTGTTTTCAAAATCCAGGCCCTGTAAGAAGTTGTAAAATGATAAATTACTGGATACTTTTTTACCTTCATCACAGCACGACAGTTCATAAAATTTGTTGAATTATCAGTTTTTATTATTATTATCATAAAATATGAAACAAATTAAAACAAAAACCACCTTATTAGCTCAGCATTTACTGTAATGATAAAACATAACATACATCATTTTCACAAATATGATGCTATTTTAAAACTTTGCAATGAGGAAATACCAAAATAATTCAACATAAAATAGCTGAAAATAATACAAAACGACTTCATTTACAGCTAAAAAAAAAATTCCAAAGTATGTAATTTTAGCTTTGAAAAAAAAACAAACAGAAATACTGTAATTAACATACATCATGTGTACCATGTTTCCAGTAAAAGTAAAACAAGTAATTAACATTTAATAACACCTATATCCATTTTAGTCTGCTGCAGGCCTCGACAAATCCCCATCACTATGGCAACTAAAAATGTCGTCATGTCACCTAATATTTTCTCCCGTTATATTTGTGCATAGGGTTGTGCTAAATAGAACTCAAGTCTAGAACAGTTCTGAACTCTTGGAAGTCTGGAACTATTTTTACATTCTTTGAGTCCTAAATCGAACTTTGTTTCTAGGATTTTAAGGATAAATTCAGCACTTCATGTTCTTTCAGGAATGAAACGTTGCAGTTGTATAACATGTTACACTTTTGTATCATTTTGTTTTTCTCAATTCAACCAATCAGTGCACGTGTTAAAATGAGACGGGACCAAAGGAAGTTATTTCAGGCAATACTATCAAGTGGTTGTTGATATCATGTTAGCACTCGTTGCTGTGAAAGTAATTAAATATACAAGCCCCCACTTCCCGGTACAAACAGTAGAAGTTAGGTTAGGTACACCTGGCTCCTAGATCTGAAAATATATGACGAGGCCTGGTCTACAGGTACATGCAGCAGGTACAACAGAAAAGATGTTTGAAAGACTGTTACTGTAAGCTACACTAAAAATGAAGATTAACATTTAATGCTCACCCACCATATTCATCACTTTTTTAAAAACTAAAGTTAGGCTAATATGGTAAAAATGAAATCAATATGACAAAATTTATGGTGAAAGTATTGGTTGTGCTCATTCATATTTAGTAGTAAATTCAAATAACTAACTTCACTGTGCTACCTTATAACAATATTCTTCCTTACTCTGTCCTGGTCAATAGTTTATAGAGTGCCTAGATAAATCCAAGCATTCCAAGATTTTCGTAAAGCAAATGACAGATCTGAACATATTCTCTGATCATAAAAATAAGGTTATTAGTGCCATTTTCCACATCACACTAGCAATGAATATGAACCAAGTTATTGGTCAACTTGCCTGATGTCAAGAACACTTAAAAGTCTGCCAAATGCGAACCAGCTAATTGCAATTTTCTGTACATTTCAAGATTTCCTGTCATTATGCTATGCACCTTCTTATAAATACCACTATTTGCATATTTTTATCAATTTCAATTATGAATATGGTAAAGTGACACTTCAATTAACAGGAATCCAGTTACTTTCCAAAATGCAATATTTAATACCAATTTAGATGAATATTTTCAGAACGAGACCCAAAACTCGAGCACTTTTGAATAATTGACTATTCTTCTTCAGGAGAAGAACAGTCAATTATTCAAAAGCGCTTGAGTTTTGGGGCTCGTTTTAAAAATATTACAAATTTTGTAGGTGATTGCTAACCACTTAACCTGAATTTAGATTAATATATATTGTTGTTATGAACAGACAAATAAGGCTGAAAGAAATAATTGGTTTACATTCTAGGCTATTAAAAAAACAAACTACATGGGATAGTCCTGATATTACACTTAACCCTGCAGCTACATTTTGCTTTTTAACTAACATTACAAGATGAGAACGTTACTATTAAGTACTTTTTCAGATTAAATACACATGCATTTTGAATGAGTGGATAAAACTATGGGATACCTACTAAACCATTCAGTAATCTATTATGTTCCTTTGTCTCTCCTTCAATGTCAAGAGAAATCTGTAAAGAATAATAATAATCAAATCATTTCTATTTGATAAAATTTAAGTATAAGAGTGATTATCCAATAATGAGTAATGACGAGTTAGATAAAAGAAAAAAAGAAACTATTGTTTAGACTCTTTTCATTTTATAATTAAATATCTAGGTTACCTTACTACATATATTTATAAAATAATGTTAGAAGTTTGTATTTTCCTTAAGCTTGCACTTCTCTATATAAAAATACAAATGATTTATTTCACTACCTCCTACTTAATCTAAAAAGTTATTTTCTCAATGTTATGCACAAAATAAAATAGCTCTTGCAATTGTAACAGAGTAGTATAAGGTTTGTTTTTTTCTCATGAAAAACAAGTGTGTAAATAAACAAAAGCAATGATTAACCCACATTTTTAAGATGGGAAATTTTCAGGGATAAGTTCTCTGTCATCTGACGATTTTGGGCCTCCAATAATTCTTCACTTATTCTTCCTGAAAATGAAAATATTTATGTAAATATTAGCATTTTCATTTAATATAATCAACCTATCGAAATAAACATATCTAATAAACAGTTTTTTGTTGGTTTGTTTTTACAACTACATCATTTTTATAAAAAAAGCCTTCAACAACTATGTTTATTTCAACTGGAGTGACTACTCTATCAGAACTATTTTCAGCATTAAATTCCAAAAAAATTCTACAGAACTTAACTTGCACAAATTTTCAGAGAATAAATAATTATATTGCTAAATGGATCATTGATCCAATTATGAATAAAACAAGTTTTAAGAATATTATAAATAACCTCTTAAAGGGTTTCAAAACTATATTCTTTTTACAGGTTATAGTGAAAGATAGTCATACCAAATTGTTTGGTTATTCTGTAACTATCTTAACAACAGGAAAAATACTAATAAATAAGTGTAATAACATTTACATAAAGATGAAACCAAGACTAACAAGTTAATCCCCTACAGCACTGTTATTAGTTTAAAAACTAGCATGAAATTTCATCTCTAAAGCTGCCTTTATCAATACAGTATGCCTACTTTTGCATGTAGGAAATAACTGCACAAACTTAAGATACTGTATTACTTTATAAAAAATAAAGGGAGAGAAAAAAGTCCACCAGCAAAAACTAAATGACTTGAGACTTAGCAACAGATTAACCCTAAATGTTACAACTGGTTACCTTGTACAAGTAGTAAAGAGCCTTACTTCTAAAAACATATTGCATATACGTTACTTTATAAGGTTGACCAGAGAAAACAACAAACAGTACCGGCACAATACACTAATAATTAAAACATAATATAATGTTATGCCACATCAATCCAATGCTAACAGGCCTCAGGCTCCCTAGTCTATTTATTATCACTTCTCTCTTCATTATTCATAGCACTAATTAGTTATTAATCTATACATTATAGTTCAATAAGTCCAATTTCTGACCAGTATTTTGAGTAACATTAGTCACAGGCTTTGATAAAGTTAAACTTCTAGGGTACCTAATTTAGGCTTAGCTTGGCATTATGATACAGATACTGATCAGGAATTGATCTCATTTAAATTTTGGTGGCACATAATTTAGCTTAATATCCTACCTTCGCCTAATTATGCGAGATTAAGTTAGGTTTAATTTACTGTTAGATCAAAGATAAAACTTATTAAAAGTTACTATTACCACTAGTACCAACTACCAGTATTACTATTATAGCTATACAGCTTTTTTAAAAAACATAAAATGAGTAAATTTCTGCTGTATTAAATCACAACATTATTCTAATCTGTAATTTTACAATTTCTCGTATACTCTTTACCATTTCCATTTCTACTCGCCATTATTTACTGCGACATTCAGAAAATGTTCGTGAAAAAAGTTAATGTTTATCAGCCACCTCAGCAATAACATACGAACGAAAACGACAACAGCGCCGCGAAGTTCTGAAGTTCGTTATTATCAAAACTAGCGTAAAAGTCCGTCAAAAATGACGGGAAACCACTGGAAACTGAAAAAATTCTGTATAAAATTGGCAATACAGAAAAAATATATATAAAATTTCCTTTTCCAGGAACATGCTACATATTGCTCCTGAATCCACTACATATTACTGAGCAAACATGCTAAATATTGGTTCCTTTGGATCAAAGATTAAAACATACAATGACCATGCGATTGCATACACATCTATTCTTTTTCTTCTGGGGAATTGGTATCTTCAGTATATTTTAACAAAGGTTTTTCGTAATAATTCTCAAACTCGGATTTGCTAATTTTTTACTTATTTTTGATAGATGTCTTCCCGGATTTCCTAACTGGATCCTATCTAGCTTGACGTCATAATGATGTGGATGATGGTGTGTGACACACATAATGACATGCCTGATCTGGTCCTAGGAACTTCCTCCTTGACAGGCTTTTATATTGCAAAAAAGTGTCAAAATTTAGGAGCTATTTACGCCTATGTTATCGATTAAGTCCAACTAAAACGGGAGCGGGCAATGAAAAGAGGAAGTATTATAGGAGAAAAGGTGGAATTGGACTCGTGTAATTCACGAAATTCGGAAAAAATCGAGCGTGACCGACCGACACTTGACTTTTATATGTATTGGTTATTTTTCATAGAATTCTGGAACCTAAGCATCGGTTAGGAATTTTAGGTCCTGAAAAAATTGTACTTACGCCACTAGCTTTAGTTTAGTTAGGACTAAACTTTGTCGTATTTAATACTATTACAAAAGAAATTTATAATGTTATTCTACGGCCTAACGTTGGAACTTTACAAAAACTTTAAGCTTTTAAGCCGTAATGTGTCTTGGAAATTCTATATAACTTTCAATCAAAACTCGCAAATCTAGAAGTTCATTACGGCTTTTTCCAAATTTAGACTACATTTAAGTTTTTTATTCTGTATAAGAGAAAAACTCCCGTTTAAGCTTTGTGAGAGAGATATAGCTTTTTTTCATTATACCCCTAATGTTTCAGACTTTGTGTTTTTCTAAGAAATATCCATAATCGGAGATTTCACATTTAATTTTGAATTCAAATACACACTTTATTGCAAGTTTAAAAAAAAAAGTACCTTTCATCAAAATTACCCAGGCTTAGTTCTTGGAATATTTAAAAAAAATTGTCAAATTATTTTTTATGTTATTTTGATATAAAGATGCACTTCATATATGCCTTTTAAATACTAACTTTTTTCGTTACGGCTTTTTCTAAATGTAAACTACCTATACATTTTTTTCATTATGCACAAGATAAAAATTCTGTTTAACATCTTGTTGAACAAAATGTCTACTAGAGTATTGTTACGTCTCCGTTTGTTAATTAACTTTCCGTAACCTCGTTCCGACGAAACTTTAGCGACACAAGTCCTTACTTAATAAAACTGGTTTATTCTTTCTGAATATAACTTCACAATATACTTGATTTCAACATTCGCGCTAAAACAAACGCTATAACGAACGTTAACTTCAACAATACTTTCTCACTGCAGATCAATTACTCACTACCTACACACACATTATTGTTCCGTCACGTTGTCACCCTCTTATATATACCAGACTACCCTATATCTAGTAATCTCCCGACAATTCACGTAGGAACAGGATATTTCCAGAAAGCAGGGGGCGTGACACTGGTCACGTGACCTCGCTGACGCAACACTGCCCCCTCCTTAATATTGTTCGTCCCGAACAATAACCACATACAATAAACCAATAACAATTAACAATAACTTAATTAAATGTACAGAATTACAATCACAAAATTACAATTCAAAAAAGTCTCTTAATTTTACGGGACGTATCTTCTTCCGTACTGGTCTCCGTCTCGTTGGCTTCTGCTTCATGTGGGGTTCATCTGCTTCATCAGTAAATGTCCTATAATCGGTAACAGTAACATCAGTGGTAGTAACTTCATCAACAGCTTCATCGTTTCCTTTCTCAAAACTGAGTAGAGTTTCTTCTTCGACGGTGGCTTCTTCAGGTGGCACGTCTTCAGCAGCGTCATTTGTTCTGTTGTCCACTTCGTCAAAACTGAAATGTCCTGGACCGTGATAACGCCAAAGCCTGTTGGCATGCACCACTTTTGGCTTACCTCGCCGACCACACTTTATCTGGAAATTCACGTCTGAGAGACGATCCACTATGTCATATGGGCCTTCCCATGCAGAAGACAACTTAGGAGACTCCCCTTTGGTCTTCCTGGGATTATACAACCATACCTTGTCTCCAGGGACAAACCTGACTTCAGTAGATCTCTTATCATAAGTTAACTTCATCAAATCAGCAGACGTTTTCAAGTTTGAATGCACTTGATGGTGAATATCATCCATCTATTACGATAACACTTTC